CAGCCTGGGGTCTGGGCCCCAGTGTGCTCACCAGACATAGGAGAGAATCAGCGTCACCTTCCGCAGCTGTGGGTGTCTGATCAGATCCAGGGCATTCCCCAAGGGGCCTGTGTCCTCCCGGACCAGCTGGCAGGAAGATGTAGGATGAGGGTCACACAAAAAGGTCTGTGGAGGTCAGGTTCCAGGTGGGTGGCGGGCCCACTGGAAGTACCTGGCCCAGGAGCTCTGGGGAGAGTTTCCGCCCGTTGACTGAGGCCGCCTTCTGGATCACTTGTTTAGCCTCCTCCACCCTCCCCCGGGCCAGGAGCCACCGTGCTGATTCTGGCAGGGCCCTGGAAGTGGGGAACCTGTCACTTTGGGGCCTGGATGGGCCTCCCACAGTCACAGGGCACCCGTCCATCCCACAGCAGAGCTGAGCTGGGGGGGCTACTCCCCAAAGAGAACCTTACCAGAAGTAGAAGAAGAGCAGAAGGACTGGTGTGGTGCCGGCGATCTGGAAGGACCTCCAGTTACGGATGCCATAGGCGAGTCCTGCCAGCACCATCTGCCCCAGGGAGAAGGCACAGTGGGCCAGCACCACAGCCCGAGTCCTCCACAAGGGCCCCACCCACTCTGTGACTGGGAACAGAGAGGCTGAGACTGCTGCCCTCCCGCCCCCGCGTTCCCAGGGGCCAGCGGGTGGGCCATGTGTGCAGGCCTGGTGCGGCCCCACCAATGGTCTGCGATGCAGCCGCCCCAGGCCTGCTCCGTGGCTCTGGCTCCAGGGCCCTGATACTCACGTAGGGCGACGTTGCTGAAGGTGTACCCTGCAACAGCAGTAGCCACAGCAAAGCGCAGGGCCATGTAGAATGCAAAGCTGGGCACAAAGGCTGTGGCGGGACCGAGGACAGCGAAGAGGAGCAGCTGTGTCAGGACAGTGGCCTTGCGGCCAATCCTGGGGCAACAAAGGGATCCGTCCGAAGCGGAACTCTGACGGGAAGGAAGGGCCAGCCCTGCCCTGGGCTGTCTGTCTAACAGAGGACATGTGGCCCTCCCTGCAAGGAAACCCAGCCTTGTGCCTGGAGACCAAGGGCACGCAAGGTCAGGATGAGCTGACCCAGGCTCTCACCTGTCACAGAGGGGCCCGAAGATGAGGGCGCCGGTGAGGAGCCCAGCCATGTACACCGACTGCGAGGTCTCCTTCAGGCTCTTCTGATCACAAACCAGATTGA